TTTTTCCCCCCCCCTGGGAAAAAAAATTTCTACCCGAGTTTTTTTTTTTTTTTTTTTTTTTTTTTTTTGTAAACTCGCATTAAATATACATTGCCACGTACAGAACAGGTTGAATCTGTTGTAACTCAAATGCAACTTTTAATTATGTGTCAAAATGGGTAACAAGATGTTTGTCCACAAATGTCAGATCGATTCTTATGCCTCTTGTGATGTCATCAACCAACATGTGTAAAGCGGTCTCTGCTGCTTTTCCTTTGTCAGTAGGTTTTTAAAATCTTTGCACTGTGTGATGCTTGGAGTCTCATCTGCATCTCTCATTTTTCAGTGGAAACATAAAACACACACACACGCCAGATATTATCTTTAGAAGTATCGCTGGCGTGCAGCGTAGACCGCTCTTTTTCTCGCCGTTTGCAACTTTACGGGTTTGCATTTCTCCCCAGAACAGTGTTTCCTAATCTTTGTCCTTGGGGTACACTGTGCTGCATGTTTTAGATGTTTTTTTCCCCCCTTCTTGACATGTGTTTTGAATTAATGCGTCGTTAACAGGCTTCTGTAGAACTCGAGTTAATTTGTTCCTTTAACTTGGATGTTATGGAGCACATGCACACGTTGGTGTGAAACCCATTTCCCATCCTTCAATTCTAGTTTTCCAGTGTCCCTATAAAAGTTCAGTGGAATATCTTTCAGATGGATAAGTTATCCCACCACAAAATGGGGACCTCCTTTGAGAAGTTTAAAGATGGACTGTTTCAGATTTTCATTTTTTTTTTTCTATACATGAGCAGACATAACGGATTTTAGCTGATGCACCAACTTGTCACGTAATCTAGGTCACTTTTAATGCCAGTGGCACGATTTTTATTACACTTGCTTTACCATGGACCACAATGCCCCACAAAATACACATTATACAATGCCTGGATATTTATTCTAAGCTCAAAATCTATAAAATTGACTTAAGAGGGAAGTAAATGTGTGCTTTAGGCTTGCTTCTTTTGATGTCCTCTATCAGTGTTTTGAACTCTTATTTTGAAGTAAGAAGGGAAGCAGTTCTTCTGATGTTGATAGAGCCGACCTGACGCTCTGCAGCGTTTGCAGTGAAGAAGTAAATAGAAAAAGAAACATTGGAAGTGTGACGGACAAGACGCAAACGATTCGTAAACGATGTAACGACATAACGTCGGCTGCTAACCACGTCATTTTCTCTTGACGCCAAACTAACGGTGACTGTTTTCTACATTTAATCATTTCTACTTTGACATCTAAAATAACTCCATGGATCAAACCTGAGCTGAGGTTTTTGAAAACATGGCATCATCTTTTTGAAAAACACAAGATGTAGTCACTGTTAGCTGTTTTTGCATCAGACCACCTTAGAATTAGATGTGCACATAAATATTAATGATCAGTCCTGGTTTGTAATATATTACACTGATTAGAGTCTTCAAAACCCCACTATGGAACAAATAAGGGGTCTAAAATCTTGTCTCGTTCTCAAAACTGCAGTTGGGCATCATCTTGTCTCGTGGGCTAGGGGTACACTTTAAGCCCGAAAGATTTTTACCTTCGTCAGATTTTGCTTGAAAGTAATCTTCCACTCTAACCAACATGCTTCTTCTGAAAGGAAATCATTTAAAAAAAATTTTTCAGTAACCCAGCTGCAGTCCCATCTTGAATCTAATAATCTATGCAGGGATTATAAGATCAGGGCGATCATAATAAAGCATTTCAAACTCAAAGACTCGGAGCTCATCATCACCAAAGATTATACTTCAAAAATACCGGTGGAGACATGCAGGAACCTGGCCAGCAATTATGAGAAGGGTTTGATTGCTGTCGCAGCATTAAAGCTTGTCTGTTGTTTATAATGAAGGGTACGATTAATACAGGGTAAATAAGAACAAGTTGTTTCAAAACTCGTATATTTTGTTATGTTTTGCACATTAATCTTTGAGAAATGTCTGTCATTTCCTACTAGAAATCAAATGCTTGGTTAAATGAAAATAAAGTCTAAATCTGCACGGCGTATTATTTTACGCATGATTGTATTTCAATACTTCTAGATGCAAGAAGCTCAGAAGTACTTGAATCTTCCTTCATAGCTTTTCTTTGAATAAGACACCACAGAAAGTGTGGCAGCTCAGCAGTTTTTCTTTGGCTTTATGGAAGTTAGGGTAATATCACCACTTTGCTAGTAGACCACTTCCTGTTTCTCTTTATTCGATGAAACAAATTTGGTTGCCGAGAAGTCTCGAAACATGGACGGTCACTGTGTTAAACTAAAACAGCCGTCAACGTATACTTTATATTCTCGTCTATGTCTATCAAATTTTTTGTAAACTTTAATGACCAAGATGTTGGATCATTTCATCAGTGGCAAGAATAAGTGTTTTCTTTTTTTTTTTTTTTTTTTTAATAAAAAAATCAGTTTTCGATTAAAGTGCAATGAAACCACTCGTTCTTTTACATCAAATCGAGCAAGCCACTCGGGGGCTATTATCCACATATGTTTCATAGTCGATGTTGTTGTTGTAGAAGGAAGAAAGCTCCAGAATACAATTTGTGCATTGTGCAGGAAGCTCATAAGCTCTCATCTGGTTCAGGAAAATTCTTCCCCTCAGGGTGTTTGTTTACAGATTTCTCACTTTTTTTTTTTTTTGAGCCACAAAAACCAAAACAGTCTAAAGCTAAAAAAAAAAAAAAACAAAGCGCGCAAAGGAACCTCTCGGAGGCAGATCGTTTCTTGGGAAATTTCTGCAGAACTCAAGAGGATCTGGGAGCCATCATTCAAGAATGAAAAGCATTAGTTAAAGAAAAGTTTCCACAACTCGTGCTCAAACCACACACACACACATACACACACACTAATCAAATACCAGGCATTGCACCCATCTGCTTAGTCGAAGTGTAAAAAGCACACAAGCAACCAGGACGCCCTCCTCCCCTCAACACTACAGGAATGTGCTGAATTCGGGACGTGAGGGCCGTTTTGCTTTTTGAGTCACTTGTATGCAGTTGTGTCTGCGTTTTCTATTAAATTATATAAAAGAAAAAAAAAGGAGGGAGGGAGGGGAGGGTTATGCAAAACGAGTCAGATGGTTCTCACAAGTAGAGTGCTGTGAATGCATTGGTGCCGTGTTTGTGTTGAGATTGCGCTTCTACGCCAATGGAAGTCAGGTCATTGGCACACCGTGGGTGTGTGTTTGTGTTTGCCTGTGTGTGTGTGTGTGTGTGTGGGTGTGTGTTCGTAGGGAGCCGGCCAAGTGCGAGCGGGAAACGCTGTCACTCTTGCATAAACAAGCCTGATAGGCCAGACAGGCCGTCGGTGGGCAGTTTTCTTTTTGTTGTTGTTGAGTGGAAAAGGGGTTAGCTGAAAAATGCTAATAAAACTTTCTATGTTTGTTAGAAGTAGTGAGCAGCTGAGACGCGTCAAGATTTTTACCGTGCACAAGTCGTCGTCAGCATGTGCCGATGATTGCTTGCAGACAGATGGCGGTCGTGTGCGGATGAGCCCGTTTGCAGGTGTATTTGAATTAGCGAGTTCACGCCAATAAAAAGCACATGTGTGACTGTTATGTAGGCCACCTCCACATGTACTCACACAGGGACTTTGCCCTGGCTTTCTTGTAAACACTCTTGTTTTTCTGCTCCTCAGTAGAGCAGAGGATGAGAGGTAGACGGGGCCCTACTCTCCTTTTCTTTCTGGAAGCCCTTTTATTCCCTCCCTCAGTTGCATTTTGATGCTATGTTGCTGATCTGTTTGTGTGAAAGGTTTTTTTTGGGGGGGTAGTATTTGGTGTGTGTCTGTCTCTGTGTGTGTGTTGTTAGGGACTTGATATTGCTTCCCCTCTCTGCAGGGAGTGTGTGTTTGCTCCTTCCTTGGAATGCAAGCCTGTGGAAGACTGAATGGTTGGAATGTGTGTGCCTGTGTTTTTGTGTGGGTGTCCATTCGTTCCAGTTCATGAATGTGAAAGTGAATACATGTTATGGAATCTGCACTAATTTAAGGAGGATACTGAACCTCATGGTGACTGGACAGGGTGCATTCAAGTCGGTTATTTATATTCGTTTATTCGACTTCCGCATCTAAAAAAATATCACCTGGATATTTTTTAGAGTATTTATGTAGAATACTCTGTTTTCTAAGTAAATATTGATCCATTTCATTAAAAATTAAACAAATTCATGAATGCTGTTATTAATAATAAAACTTTATGAGGTGAATACCTTTCCCCATGAAATAAAAAAAATGCATAAAAATATTTAACAGGAATGCTTTTTTTAATCAGTTTTCTTTCTTTATCAAGATTTATTTATGTATCCATTTAATTATCAATTTGATAATAATCGTGTGTATTTCATGGACTTATTTTTTTTATCTCTTTTTATTTTAGGTCTATGCACAACTTTGCATCCACCTGTTGCATAAAATCCCAGGAAAATGCATTGAAATCTGTTGGTTTAAAGGGTTATGATCATTTTTTTACTAGGTCCAGTAAATGCATCTGTCATTTTGGTGCATGTCAGAATGCATATAAAATACTCCGTCTTATTATAATGTGTGAAACTGGGAAAACAGACCAATATTTACTGTGTATTTTCTGTCCATTTCCACAGGTGCTGGAGGATACCACAGGGGTTCGCCGAGTGGTGGTGACCCCCCAGTCCCCAGAGTGCTACCCTCCCTCTTACTCTCCAGCTCTGTCCCCCACGCACCACCTCCCCCCATACCTGGCTCACCCCCACTTCATTCCCAACTCTCACTCTTTCTATCCCCCCGTCAGCCCGGGCGAGCTGCCGCCTCATCAGTACTACCAGCACCACCTTCCCCCGATGTACGGCGATCCAGGTACTCGCACTCACCCTCCTGAATACCGGGGATTTTGGATTCAAACGATGAATTATGCAATCGGGCGTCATAAGATGTAAATGATCAATTTCACCAAATTTTCAGTGTCTTCTCTCCTTTCAGAAATCATCCCAGTTTATGGGATGTCCAACTACATCAGCAGAGAAGAGACGTACACTAAGCCACAGCCTAAAAAGATAAAGGAACAGAGACTAGAGCGACAGAACCGACTCAATTCTCCTCCTTCTACTCTCTATAAGGGCAGTCTTGGGCCAGCACACAACGGATACAGGTAATCATTCTTCTTCTGTGGGTTTGAAACAGGGATACTTAACACATAAGATGAGGCTGTTTAGTTTTATTTTCTTGGTTTTGCCATCGAAAGAGTCGTAGAAAAAGGTATAAAGTACTAAAAAGCTGTATTCTGTAAATACAATATTATTGTATTTACCTTTTTCCCAACTTACCGCAAGAAGACTCTCCACTCATGTGTGAAGCATTTCCCCGACTCCAAACGCTAATTTCAGAGAAAAATCTAAAGCGGAACTCATTCTCTGGTGTAAAGCAAAGAATGAAGAAAGACTGAAGTTGTTTTTTTTTTGTATTGCCACTGGGAACAATTCTTTGGACGAAGTAGGTATTTTAAGCATAGCTAGCACTAGCATATGCTAACTATTCAGCAAGTAAAAGGTTATTGTTGTCTTAAGTGAAGAAACTTATTCTATTGCAACCTTTCTCAAAAGTTGGAGTCTGGTCCAGAGATCACTCTAAAGAAATAATGACTAAACAAAGACATAATTGTCAATATTATTGGTGCACAAGTAGTAAAATATTCCCCATCAACAAAACCATTGTGGGGCAAGCCAAATTTAAAATGCGAGTGCTCATTGAGTTTTACTGTGAGAAATTAGAACAGATTAGGGTCATAACTCAACAGTTATAGACATTTAAAGTTAACTTGGTTTTGCTTGTAAGTTTTGAGCAAATTTAATTTAGGATTTAATCAGTCGTTTTGGAATGTGGACCTCATCCAGAAATCACTTTTGGATCTCTGATTATAAAGTTTCTGTAGCGTGAACTGAAGACATTTACTAACTGAATAAAATGTCTATTTTTTTCCACTGATGGAATAAATCCATCAAGGTTTGCGTATATATATAAACTTTTTTTATTGACTTACAGGAATTTTGCTGCTTCAAATGTTTAAAAATGAATTGATCATTTGAGAATTTTGTCCAAAATAACCTTTTTTTGTGTGTGTAATATATCTGCGTGAAAATTAAATTGAGTTATTTCATTTTGTTTGTGATGCAGTAACAAATCACACGCCCCATCGCTTGGGTCAGCGGGGTCAGGGGGCGGAGCCAGCAGTCCAGGGGGCAAGAAGCCAGAAAGACGACACCGCTGCAGTCCACGAAACAGTGAGCCAGAGACGCACACACAAGGTAGGAGACGAGGCCGAGAGTCAAGGCAGTGAGACAAAGTGACACACTGATGAAACAAGATCAAGCATGCCAAATCCTAAAATGACACATCTGTCTACAGAGATGCTAAAGAACGTCACAATAGAGCCTCTTTATTTTCTAAACTGAAACATAACTGTACTACCAAATTGCCACATATCTCTTTATGGATTTTTTGTTTTACATTTTCCTTTTTTATTTGACCAACTTGGCTTTCTTACAATCTTACTGCCCCTTTTGCATTCAAGCAAACAAGATGGATTTCCCTTCTCAGTTTTACTTCTTCTGTCCTTTTTTTCTGTCATAAACTCAATGAGATGAAAAATAAAAGCCAGGATCAACATGCTGAAAAGATCTGGGGGTTAGGATGGTGATGGAGACTGAGGTGAGAAGGTGGGGAAGAAGGGTTGTCTGGGCAACCGCATAGCTGAACCCGTCCCTCAGCGCTATCGTTTTACCTCCGCCACAATACCGGCCTTGTTGGTGGGCGAGAGAAGGGGTAGGAGAGATGGAGGGGGGGAGAAGGGTGGTGTCGCATACCTGTACAGTCCTGCATGGGATGAAGGGAACCTTTGAGCTCCGTGATTCAGACACCGCAGTTCAGCCTCATCACCCACATGCACGCATGTGCAGAAACACTGAGGGACATACCTGCCCTCACACACTTTTTTTTTCTTTTCTTTAAGCTCTTAATAAAAATAAATAAAAAAGAATGGTATGTACCACTTTATGTGCCCCTTACAGCACATGGGGACATCTGAGGAGGTGATGATGGAACAACTTGAAGAGACAAAAATGAATTGATTTTCATTTCTACTTGTCAAACTTTTTTTTTTTTTTTTTTTTTT